TGAATTACACTTATCTCCACTTCGCCTGTTTAACTTCCCATAAGCATGCTAAGCACCTCTTTAGAATGCATTGAACTCTAATTATTTCTTGCTTTATGTATCCCTTAGCCCACATTGAAGAAATAAAAAATATTCTTATTGGTATACAGTGCAGAGTAACACAACCTGGTCTTGTTTTATTTAGTTTGTATGCAGAGTGAAATTTTAACAGCTTTGGGTCCTTCAAAAATGAAACCACCATGCGTAATGATTGAATTTCATGTCAAGTGACACTGATGAAAATGTTTGTAAGTAATGGGCCAAATTCACAATTGCGGTAGGGTGCAAAATTGCATAATTCAACCTTTTGACTGTCTGATTACCAATTTGCAGAAGCTATAGCCATGCCATGGCTATAATCTAATGTCTTTCTGAAGTCATGGGATACACTTGATTTGTGGGGTTTGTGCACAAAAAAACCCATTGTCGTGTTTTTGGTTTAAACCATGACAGGAACCTGTACATTAATACACCTACATTCATATAGGTGTATTTTTTTCCTGAAGTCAAAGCATGAATGGTAGAATAGCTGGCTTTATGCTTGAGTGAGAGCATTTTACTTTCTTTTCACTGGAGGAATTTTTAGCCTGGCAGCAATAGCATTGTTATAACTGCCAGCTGCTCACTTGGCACAAGAGTGTCTAGAACCAAGAGGAAGAGCCTGGTGTATCATATGTATAATTTACTTTTCTCTAAAACTTGAAGGTTGAGGCCTCATAAATATTTTCATCTGGTCTTTCATGGCCTTTGTAAACATCAGTCTGGGAATATGCATGTGAAGCAAAGCTTGCAGATTTTAGTTTGGAGTACATTGTAATAATTGCCACCATGATAAGAAGAGAGATTATTCTGGCAGATTCATCTGCGAGTGGGTGGTCAAGAAAGAAGGAAAAACTTTAATGTTAAGCAGATGGACCTCCCTTATTTTATATATTGGGGATGCAAGATAATCATCTCCCCAAATATTGGATAGTATTGATCTGGTTTGCAGGTTGAAAAATTATTTCTGAGGTAGAAACTCAGGAATGGAGACTTTTTTAAATCCTGTTCTCGCCCACCACTGTCAGGGCAATGATGCAGCAGAAATTAGGACTGGAAGGGTTCACAGGAGCAGTTGTACCTTTCTCCACCTGTAAACTCACAAGTTTACAAGTGTAAGTCACAGAGCACTTCTTCACCCATAGTACAACTTTACTCTTTGGTATTTAAAATTGGCTTCAGAAACTTAAGTGTACCAAAGGAGAACTCAGGAAAGACTATGTTAAACATCTTTATTTCTAAATGCTCATGACACATCTGGAAATAGACCATACAGTAGTAGGAAGTTGTTAGGAAGACCTGTTGGTCTCTGCTGGTCTGGTAGTCAGCTTAACCTTAAGTGTCTGAGCAGTAAACACTGAGACACCCAAGAAAGTTATACCAATAGGTGCAAGCTCCTTGCATCTTTACATTTCATTCCTTGTAGTGGACTATCTCCAGTGAAATTAGAGGGCACTGAAATTCAGGCCATGTCACCTGGATCCTTGAAGGAAGAGAAAAATTTTCCTGGTCATGAAGACATCCTGGGATGCACATGGGTGGGAGTGTGATATTTGGGAATTCGGAGCTCTGAACTCTAAAGGAATATGTGTTTTGAAGCATGTTGTTTAATTTGCTTCACAGTTTTTTATTAAAAAAAATAGTATGCCTTCTTTCTTGGCAGTCTTTCTCTGTGTTAAGTAGATTCTTTGAAGAAGAAGCTGTCTTATTCAGAGTCCCACGCAGTAGTCAGCTAATGAGTCTGTGATCTCAGCTGCTGGTGTAATGTAAGTGAATGCTGCTTTACTATAGCAAAACACTACTTTAGTGATACTTTTTAAAGTGAGATTTGTGTCAAGCCTGATCTGTTTCACATGAATGTGAAAGCAGCATTTTGATTGAAAGCAACTGCAAAACCTCAACCTGCTAATCAAGTTCCAAACTTTCAGTTAGGAGTTCCCACAGCTAGGGATTGCAGTTTGCTCTAAATCTTGTTTGACATGTGGATGAGGGAGTAAAGAAGTGAAAAAACTGGAAGAAACATAGAAAGGTGACAGAGTTTAGGAGTCTTCCATGCTGACTCTAACCAGTAGCTGTTAAGGAAGATGTCATTCTCTCTTTCCTTCTCTCATTGTTTTTGTTACAATACAGGGGTAAGAGTATATCCATGCTTGTGCGTTCTTCCAGCCACATATGCACAACACCTGTGGTTAATGAGAATCTGAGAGGAAGTGGTTCTTTCTCTATACTTTTTATACTACTTACTTTCCCCCTCCTTCCTCCTGGAGATACAGGGCAATGAAAGAAGGAATTTACCCAGATTTATGCTTTTTCTGTCATGTACAGCCGTATGTGTCTTGGGATATTACAATTTGGTCCATTTCTCCTGCCCTTCTGCTAAAGTTCCATCATATTTTTTAGTTCCCACGTTTCTCTGACAGAAGGATGATAATATGCATGGGATCTGTTTCTGCTTCAGCTACTTAGAGATTGTGAGTGGCAGAGGGGCTGACCAGCTGCTGCTGCTTGTTCAATGGAGTTACTGCCTCAGTTGCTTTAAGGAACAGAAAAAGGATCTGGGTGCTCTATGGGTTGAGGGTGTGAGGAGGGCTTCTTTCTGCACTGTCACCAGAACTGTGGAAGTCTGTCATTTTTCATGCAGGTTTTCCTCAGAAGCTTTCAGTGCCCTATGCGAGATAAATGTAGCTTCAGAAAGAGGCATTGTCAAATTTATCCTGACTTATCTCAGAAGAAGTAGCAAAACTGGAAGTGAAGTTTTGACTTCCTGAAGCAGTCAGTTTGGATGAGCTTCTGCCTACCTTCTCTGGGGTTGTATGTCTCGTTTGACTTGACTGTTCACTAAATGATCACTTGCCAAGCTTTCTCATCAAAACCCAAACTGACACAAACAGGAATGTTTAAGCTTAGATCCTTAGTGCTTGGAATTCTTAAGTTAAAAAAAAATTAAGAGCGACCTGTTTTTGTTTGTTTAATTAGGTTTTATGTCTTCCATATCTGTGGGTATGCAGTGTTCTAAAATGAGCTCTACTAGATGAGGCAAAGCTGTAAGCGTTGCACACTGATGCCTCCCAATGACCAATATAAAGCAGCACACTGTATATTTGTAAAACTCTTCACCTCCCCCATTCATAATGGCATCATTAGATCATCTTTTTAAGTAACTATTAAACTTTACATGTACCAGCTAGTGAGTGTCTTTGCATTTAATTCTCATTTAATGTTGTGCAGTGATTGCATATTATCAAGGAGGAGACAGCTGCATCATTTTATTATACATGTACACGGGGCCAGTAACTCTTCTATTTTTAACACAGTAGTAAGAATTCTATAGAAGATGAAATGATAGCTAGCGTACATCTAATCTTTAAAAGGAATATTAAATTAAAAATTCAGTGGAAATATCAATGTGTATAAATTTCTATCTACTGCCTTATGGCAGAATCTTTTGTTGCCTAAATAGCCAGTTGTATTATTTTTAGTATTTTCATACTTCAAAAAATAACGTTCTCTGCGTGTTCCTGTCTCTTTTTCTTGTCTTTTCAGTCACATCTGTGTTTAAATAAGGCCACCATAAACCTACTCATTTGTGGAAAAAAATCTGTTTTATGGGACAACCTAAAAATCCAGGAAGATGGCACCACATTCCAGAGGCAGTGTTCTTGGTTCAAAGTCAGACAATTGATTTTTAACCCACACTGCATAGTTTAAAGTGGTTAGATGTTTTCCTTTTTTTTCTTTTTTTTTTTTTTTTTTAGCTCAGGGGTTGTCTACTGCTATCAGTTCTTTTTTGTATGTTTATATTGGTAGAACTTAATGAGATTACATGAGATTACCCGTAAACTTGCCACCTACCTACAGTGAGTCTTATGAATATTTGATGATAATAAGTAGTAGGAACTTCACTCTTATATTCACATGCACTTTAAAAAAACAGCAGCAGAAGGATACCTTTTTTTTGTTCTGCTTTTTCACTTATGGTAAACAGTATGATGATTATATACATGCTAATTATTACATGATAATTATCTAACATATTGCTGTTCTTAATACTAGGAGCTCCATTTAAATCATATTTCTCTTGTAGGAGGGGAAGAATGCAGGACAGAAGACAATTCTTATGTAAATTTCTGTTCTAAGTTGAGGCAGGGTCGACTGGTCAGTCTCATGCTTCTAGCTATGAATTAGCAGTTGAGAAGAACAAAAAAATACAGTGGAACATACTCACTGTTTTGCAGATGCAGCTATGGTCTACAAAATCTAAAACTGGTATCTGTAGGTCAACAATTTTGTAGAGTTCTATGCCATGTTTTTGGTCTATCCAGCATCACCCTATAGATCCCATAGGCAATACATTTGCGTCATATTGCAAATCAGACATGGTCTGTCGACAGCAGGCATTGCCTTTTATGTTCTCTTGGTCTGTTTTCCTTTTTCTTGTAGATGGTGTAATAGGGAATCCTCACCTTGTGTGTTGTTTTGAGATGTTTTTCTATGAAGCTGGCATTGTGAAAACCACATTCCTGTTTTAATTGTGTTGAATTGTGATACTTGGTTTTGTTTGCACATTTGAGAACTTACTGCTTTGATCATCCAACTTGCTGCTTTACAGACCATGTTCAAATCACAAACTAATGTTTTCTAAGTTGCCATAGCTTGTTTAATTACTTATTTTCCCTTCTGACACTTGCAGAGCCTGCTACGCAACTATATTTTTCCTTACTGAAGTGGTGAGGACAGCAGCAACAGCTCCGACATTTATCGTTATAGGGGTTTTGTATTTAAAATAATCTGACATAATAGTTACTAGAATGCTTTTTTCCAGTAGCTCCTGCAAATTGAGAGTGTAAAATCTGTAAGTTTATTAATGCTACTATAGCATTTTTCTTAAAAAGTGGTGCTTTACAGAATTTGTTTTTTTTCAGGGCATCAGTTTCCTCTTATTGCAGCTCAGGATCTTCAGTTTGTTCTGAAGGCTGGATACCTGGAAAAACGCAGAAAGGGTAAGTTCAACTGTCTTTGTCAAAAGTAGTGTATATTTTCTATCTGTGAAGTCTGTGTGTCAGTATTTGACGTTATACACACAAATAACTTCATACAGGAGTGTTAAAATGAAATAGAGGCTGAAATGTTGAAGCATTATTATGCAAAAGAAGCAGAGCACATATTTACTCCTGTAGTATTAAAAGAAAATATTATTTCTTTATTGACTAACAAAATCCTGCTGTTCAAGTCCACTGTCAGCCACAATTCAGAGACTTACAGATATTTTTGAAGAAAAAATTAAGAATATATGTAAAAGTACCGTATGTTGACTTCATGTTTCAGTGAGCATCAAGATTTATTTTCCTTCAAGAGGGCAAATATTGATCTCAGCTTTGGTTCAATCAATATTTACCTTGATTCAATAAATCTTATATTGTCACTTTAATACCCACTTAATGCTGCGATAACTGTAGGAAATATTTAGGAAGTTGATAATTATTTCCTTATATTTAATGTTACACATGGCTTCTCTCTTTATATGATTTCAAATTCCCATTTGTTTTCTTATCACCAGTTTTTATTTTGAATTTCCTTCTCAGTGCCATACATTTCTCTTCATGCCCAGGTTTTGTTTCCTTTCCTTAGTGCCTTTCCAGTCTCCTCCTCTCTCTTACCCCAACCTTGAAAAGAAGTAACGTATTGATGTTCAATAATGACAGTGATGTAACAGAAATTGTATCAATTGCAGACCACAGTTTTCTTGGCTTTGAATGGCAGAAGCGTTGGTGTGCTATCAGTAAGACGGTCTTCTATTACTATGGAAGCGATAAAGGTACTTGTAATAATGATGATAAACTATAAAACCAGTATTTTAATGAGAGAAAAAAGTTTTAGTGGAGGTCATTTTAAGAAAGCAAATGGAAATTTTAAAAGAATAGATGGTTCTTAAACAGTGCTTTGAATTTTAAAAATGTGTCAATATTCTTCAGAATCTGTAAGTGATGTACTCATTTATTAGAGAGGGGAAACTGAGGAAAAAGGGTTACTTGTAAAGTTACTTTGTGCATCAATAACAGCTAGCTGTTAGGTTTGATACTATGCTGGTACTCAGTTGATTTACTGGACAGAAAATATTCTTTCTGTCTAAATGGAATCTTAATTTTAAAACACTCTCTGGCAATTATACCTTCTTAGCTCTTTAAAGATGATTCTATCCAGGAAAGTGTTAGTCTGAAAACCCACATAGTTTTGCAGGGAGCATAGAGTTCCATGTTTCTTTCTAAATGCCTTATGTTTTGAAAAACCTAGAAATTAAATAATATATTTAATTAAAAGCCAGTCCTGGACACTAAAGCTAGCTCATGAAAGTGACTTTTAACTTTTAATGGCCAATTTAGAAAGAGTCTGGCGTAAATGCTTTGATATCACTTTGAATTTTTAAAATTGACAGTTAATAAACATCTTTTAAATTGTATGCTAAGTGTATTTGATGTCTAAGGGTAGAACAAATGATACAGAAATAGATCTGAGTAAATTTTATAAGTGCAATTATGTTGTCCTCTCCTCCCCCCCAAAACCCCAACAACCAACCTGTGTACTTATTCCTGGGCAAACTATCCGTTGAAACTTTTTTCTTGAGATCAGTGCAGGTAGCTGTTTTGTGGTGTTTTATTCAAAGACTAATTTGATCCAGTTTGTTTCATTCTTCAATATGTGCTGACTCATTTATTTAAACTCACCCTTGCTCTAAAACCAAAAGAAATAATGTTCTAATTGAAAGTCCAGTTTTCATCTCACTAGTTTCCCGTTGTATTCTCCATTTCTAGTGTTTTGTTAGTATATCTGCTAAATGTTTGCTTTTCTTCTTCACTCTTTTATTGGGATTTGCAGACTGAGGAAGATTCAAAAACTTTTAAGGAGTCTTTATTTAAAATTTTTGAGGAGGTGTGGCATTAACAGTGACTTGTCAGTAACGATTCATTTCTTTCTCTGGAAAATTATCTTCTGATATTTGTTTTTATGTAGTTATACATTACCTAATACTTTAAAAAATGGTGTTTTTTTTTTTTTTTTTTTTAGTTGGGATATATTGCTGGTTCTTACAGATTTTGTTTTTGGGGGGAGGGGGAAGAGGATGGGGGGGGACCAAAACAACCAACCAAAAAACCTCCCAAAGCATCCAACCAACCAAAAAACCCCAACCACAGAACAAAGAAGGGAAGGCTTGGTAATTTTTATTTCTTCTCCTTGTGCCTATGCTGATATCACTCATGATTTCTAGTACATGGTCTTTGCATTAAGGCAGGCAACTTCCTGCCTGCCCTTTCCCACCCTTTTTTTTTTTCTTTTTTTTTTTTTCTTTTGCAACAACCTGACTATCCAGGCTGCATCATGACTGCTAATAACCAGGCTGAAAGTTAAGATGCATGGAATCATGTTCCCTAAAATGCACAGAAGCACTTTGCTTAGCCTTCGACAAGTTGATGTCATGTTAGGAATTGACTGTGGGATACGTGGGATTTCTTTCCGTTAAGAATCTATAGACAGATGCTTTGGCTTATACATTTATAGCTTTTGTAGGCTGCAGGTTGTTTAGGGAAGATCCTGCTAACTGTAACCTAATGATGTGGGGAGAGGCACATAATCCATGGAAATAATATAGGCATGGCTAGGCTCCAAAAAGTAGCTCACGGAGGAAGTAAACAAATCAGGTGCATGCATTTCTGCCCTACCCCATGTGACTGGTGCTGTTAGTGCAATAAAACTAGTGTAGCATGGTAGAATTGTTTCATCTTGCAGATCTGGGATGACCAACAGTCACTCCAGAACTTGCCTTTGAAGCAGAAAGCTTTTTTTCTATACTGGGTGGAGGTACTCTTTTTCAGCCCTGTGATGCTGTAGTACATAAAGGTGCCAGTTCCAGTGCAGAAGCAAATCACCATCATTGTGCAGAAATTGAATACCAGTGACTGTTGTAGTTCCATGGCAAACTAGTTTGCTGTTGAAACCGAGCTGATGTCCTGATGGCTGTGAACGTGTGTGCTGCTGTTTATCACACTGTTTGGCTGCAGGTTGTCAGCATGGATGAGGTGTGTGATGAGACTATCCTGAGATCTGGCATTTAGTTGCTGGAAGAACCTGGAACTGTTTTCACTCCAACTATTACAGTCAGCAGTATAGTTCTATGATTCTGTGATTCTATAGTGCGCTGTTGCATTGGGACCCTTCTTTTGCTGTGGCCCTTGACGCTGTACCAGATAACTTGGACCACGTAGAAGATCAGTGTGTGCTCTTACCAGCTGCAGCATATGGGTGAAGTGTGCATTTGTGTGGCTTCATGCAAATTGTTACCACCCCCTGAATCATTGGAATGGTGTCTGTCTAAATGATGCTGGTCTGCCCTTGCCTGTGCCACGTCTGCAAGTGTTTTGTATCAGGTTTCTGACAGGTTCCAGGGCTGATTCACACACCAGGAATATTCCCCCCTTGTTGAACCTGGTTTGAAGAGAGATGGGGATTCCATACGTGCTCAGTCCTGCTGCCTTAATCACTTTTACTGGGTAATGGAGTGCTAGTGCCTGTGTGTGTGTTGGGGGACATAATGCAGAGAGGCAGCAGGGATTTCTTAGGTCCTGCTTGGCTTGTTTTACATTGTGTATGTTTTTAAAGCTGGACACATAGGTGAGTAACTGTGAAGGATATTTTGTATCTGGTGCAGTGTGTATTTTGTTGGTCAAAGTTTGATTTTCATGCTTACATATCAGTGTAAATGTAACTGAATGCTAAATGTGAGGCTGCTGGATGCCTTTTTATTAGGTTGTGTGGATTTGTTGTTTCCAAAATAATTCAGTTCTTCTAACACTATCCTTTTTACATCGGGAAAACAAGAAGTATGGAAGTGTATAAAGCTCACAGACGCATGTAAGTAAAACTCTCATTTATTCACAGCTGAATGATGAAAAATATGAGGCCTAGTCCAGGAGAATATAGTACAAGCTAAAGCTTGTGAAAATACAGTAAATGACTGTGTGTTTGTGTATGTGTGTATGTTCACCTAATAGATTACAAGCATGCTTTTAACAGTTGTGATGCCTGCAGGGCAAGGAATGTCTTGTTTCACTGCTTCCTCCTATATTTTCTCATACATTTGGTACACTGCACTGGATAGTGAAACAGTGTTTTTTATCCTTGCAGTATAGACAGGACTAAGTGAATCACCTACATTTTTCCCTCACCCGATCAATGATACGTGGAGTAGATGGAGGAAAAACGCTTAAAGGTTTCACCTAATTCATGTCAAAAATGGGTATTGCAGGAGGCGCATGTGTATTTGTGCTTGTGCTGTGGTATCTGTTGCCAGCATGTGGGCCACAACGCTGCAGAGAAGCACATTCAAATGTCAGAGCTGGCTTGGATTTCCAGAAGCTTGCCTGGTCCTCCTTTTCATAGTCTTTCCTTCCATAAAACTTGTATAATCCTTCTCTTTTCTTTGCTTCCATGCAGTTGCATCCTGAGTTAGGTACCCTGTTTTTTTGCATATCATTTCTCTATGTGATCTCTGGCAGTTCCTGTGTACTCAAGCACCTGGGTGGTATGGCTAACCTTCCAGACCTAGAGGTGCATGTGAAGAAGGAAAGTTAATTAGTTGCTTTGTAAATGAATGAATTAATGACTTCGTTCCTTCTTCCTCACTAGGCCACAATATTATATGCCCTTCTGTCTCAGCAAGCTGGAGAGATCAGCTAAATGTTTAGCAAGGCAGTAATTGATAACATCATGGCAATTTTCTCCACTGTTAATAGGCACTAAAAATTTATTTTAATCTTTATAACTCGAAAATGGTATCTACCTGCCTGCCAGTAATATGATATTGAAGAGAGGGACAATTCAGAGGCTTTTAGAAGTGACTGAGGTTTTATTTATATACTTATTTAGTATTTTTAACATGGACCTAAAAAGTATGCATTTCTCTGAATATGAACAGGAAGACAGTGGTGGCCAGACCAATGGAATCTTCTTATATTTGTGTAAAAAAATGTGATTTTGTTTTATTTTCTGTTCTGTATTTTTTTTTTTGAAGAACTTGGTGACTAAGTGTTAAGGGAGAGCGAAATCGTAGTTACTTGCCTCAGCAGGCTACTGGAATTTCTGCCACATGCTAAACTCACAAATTTCTCCTACCATTTTGCTTATAGCTACAGACCTCCTTCTTTTAGTCCTCCCTGTCTGAACAACCAGATAAAAGAAGGCAAAAATCCTTGTTTAGTTTATACTTTTGACAGAATCAGTAACAGAAATCTCCAGGAATTGTGGATATTCAACAGGACTTTGTAGCAGGGGAATGGCAATCAAAGGCATCTATCTGATGAGTACTGAATCTTCTGCTATGAGAATGTTAAATTCAGACCTTGAAAAGCACGCTTGCCATTAACAGTGCATTATTTTAAAAAGTAACTATTGAGTAAAAAAAGACTGCATATAAACAAACTGGTGCCCTGAATAGTTTCAAGAATTCTCTCTGTTTCTTTTTTTTTTTTTAGTTTAGATTTCTCAAAGGACTAGATTAAAGGAAAGAGAGAAAAAGAGTCGATTGCATTTCAGGTCTGCTATCTAAAAGGGAAGAACTCGTTTGCATTCTTTTGGAAAGGACTGTTCCAAAAGCCTGAGAAGGAATTACTGTTTTGGAGATACTGACACTATTTTTAGGAAGCAGACATCCTGCATATGGAAAAATATGTGAAACTAAATTTAGCATGAAGCCATGTAAACCTGTAAGATTTTACAGGTTCCTAATTTCAAGATGAAGAGAGTTAAATTATAGATTCTAATAGTATAAATACTTTATCAGTCTCTGAAATCTTTCTGTTTGCCTTTGTTCCTTATGCCTTTCTCTGTAACTTCTTTCCTTTCTACTACCCGAGTCTGCTCTGTTCTTCAGAATGCACTAATTCATTTTACATGTGCTAATAATATGGGCACATCGCCTTAGGCCTCAAATTTACAACCCAATTATTTCAAGACCCCATTGAAGGTTTACCCTTCTTTGTTTTAAAAGTTCCCATGGACTCAGTTATGCAAGGTTACTTCAAACCCCTTTTCTCTGCTTCCCTTGAGACTCTTTTCTTCCCTGATACAATATTGGACCTGTTTCCGTTGTTAACAACATTTAAATATTTTTAGGATGAATGAAGCTTATATGTACGAAAAATGTTTAAAGGGGCTCTCAAATTTAATGCAGATCTGCATTTTCTCTGTTTCAAATATAGCTTCCCATATTTATTTCTCTCGAATATCTATGTACTAGATTTGACCTTTTAATTTTTTTTATACTAGTTCCTGACACTCTACTTTGTTATACTAATGTTTTACAATTCTAAATTCTGGATGCAAAATGATCCACCCAGCCCCAGATTTATTCTTCTGTTATGTGCCTGATAAGGGAGAAGGGAAGAAGAAGAGGAGGAGATGAGAGCAAAGACCAGCTTATTCTGAAATGAGATTTAACTGAATTGTGGAATGACTTATGCTTGGTATTTGTGATCCTTTTTGTTTTCACTAGACTGATAGTATACTTTTTGCAGCTCTATTCTGTGTTCTACGACAACCTAAGGATATCTGTTGCTGAATTGCAAAGCTCTACTTTGAGAAAATAAGAAGCAGCAAGAATGTTACCATTCTTTAGAGAAGCGCATTCCATCCACGTCTCTCCCTTTTTCCTCCTAAATATGCTGTTGTATTCCTTCCTGCCTAGGCAAAACTCCAGTTCTGACTTAGTAGTTCAAAATGAAAGTGAAATCTCTGTAATGTAAATGTGCTTCCTGAAGCTGCTTTTAAGGCTCCTGTCATAAACCCCAATGATACCTCATTTTAAGTCTTCAAGAAAAATCTTTTAGTCTTCAAAGTTTTTAAACATCAGTAACTGTTTAACAATAGAACTCCGAATGTGAAAGTTCACAGAAATCACTGTGGCACTAATTTCACACAGCAGCTTTAAACAGAAAGCCCAAGTCTGTCTGCACCCCTGTTTAGCTGCAAGGCCTTGCCAGTAAACGCAGTTGAGATGGTTGTTGAGTCGGACCCTTACAGGATGGCCCTGCGTTCAAGCTTGCACCCGACTATAGGGTCTGGCCAAACAGCTACCATGGGTCATGTTTTGCTCCATGGTGATCAGGTGATGGGCCTTGTCTCCAGTCTACCTGGAAAAGTATAGTTGCTCTGCAAGAGCAACTTGGATTTGTAGACCTCCATTGCTTGTCACCGTCTGAGCATGCAACTAAGCTGTAGCTGACCTGTGTCCTGCCATTCTGTATTTGTGAAGCCATTTCTCAGGATGTACTAGGTCTTATCTCTGGCTTGCTGCCACAGGGAGTGTGAATGCATTCTGAAAGTCTTTCAGCTTTAATGGGTTCTGGGTCAGCGCTGTGAAGTGTTTCATTGTCTTAAAATTTCCCCATGGTTAATACTCCAAGTGTGTGTGAAATGCTACACTGGACTTTAGTCAGAGCTACTTTACTGGACAGACAATTAGAAGCAAAAGTAGCAATGCTTTGACGACTCTGTTGCTATAAAGGTCAGTGAAAGAATTTAATAGCAAGGAGTATGTGTTGCTTTTTTTTTGTGGTGCATACAGGTAATTTTCATTAGCTCTGGAATGGTGTGTTCAGAGAGACAAGACACAGACAGTATTAACAATAAAACCAGTCAAATGCAATATGGGTACCATGCACTATGTTTCCCTTCCAGTGCAACGTACAGCATCCTTGTGTTTTAACTGTAATTCTCTTTGAAAGAACAAGTACTAGTACAGAGATCATCTGAGATTGGCTCTATAAAACTGTATTACCATAAAATGGACCATACATGTTGCAGAGAAACAGTCTCAGAAATAATCCAAGAGACTAAATTTGAATACTTGCCTCATTTTTATCTTGACAAAATGTTTTTACCTTTTGAACCTGGTGTTTGTTTATTCTGTCTGCGTGCTCCTATCTTCTTGGGTTTTGATAAACCTCCAGCATGGGAGAGTGAGAAATTAATGTCTTTCACTTCATCTTCTCCCTAAGGTCACAAGTGAAGGAACAATAAAATTTCAAGGCAGAAATGAATTTCGTTAAAAGGGGACCTGGTTAACCTATTGCAAGTTATTATTTTTTATATCTGCTGTGCTGTGATTCCATGAATTTTGTGTTATGTGTGCTGTTTGATATAGGAGTGGAGGATCGAGCAAATAAAAAGCATTAGTACTGTGCTCTTAGTATTTAATTAAGACATAATCAAAGTTACTGTGGGGGAAGGGGTGAGAAGGGAAAATAGAACAGCACCCTGGATTTTTTTTTCATATAATTGTGTTATTTGGTATTTACTTGCTCTGGGTGAGAGTTCATAAAAAGGTGGAAGGACAAAGAATTTGTGTTTATGTGCTTGTAAGATTACTGGCAGGAGTAGTTGTATGGTGACTGCCTTGATGTCCATTGATGTTGATGTTGCTATGTTAGCCAATTTTTGCCCCCTCGTGATTGGAAAAAAGATAAGATCTCTTATTAAATTTCCAGGAAGATGACAAAGTTATGTTGAAAATTGTAGTTTTTTCTGTTTTGTCTACAGTAAGAAGTTTCTTTCTCTTATTGACAAGCATAAGCAATGGATGTTTGATTTGCACTTAAGTTCTGTTCAGCAATACTTAAAGTAGTTTTGTTGTTGTGCCTGATGCTTATTGTTAATTTTTCTCTATTGTGGAAAAAACCCCATACTTAATGGAATTTTCTTTCATTTGGAACTGCATTTCATTTTTTGTTTGCCTGAGCAAAATGTGACTGATGATGATGATGATCTTCACTTGATACTGTATTCACTTGATTTCTGTGATCTACAGAAATTGCAAAACTGAGTCACTTTTAGTTTTTAGGTTTGCTTTTAATATTCACCAAAACATATCAGAGCATATAAAGTCAGATGAAGGGTTTGGCCTGAAGAGCTCAGAAGGCATGCACAGGTGCCGCCTGCCCACCATGTAGTGTTTTTAAACTCAGGTTTATTCTAAGTGATACTTTTATAAACCAGAACCTTTGAAAAGTAGAATTGTCTTTAAAACAACCACATGGCACAAACACATGGCTCTACATAATAAACTGTGGTAGGGCTCAGTGCTTTTATTAGCTAATTAAATATTTGCTGTCTAGAGAGAAATGCTTTTGGAACACACACCTGAATTTATAACAAAATTCATTCTGTACTTCTGACATGTGGAAAGAAGGCACATCTGGGAACGGGTGGGGGAATGTGAAAAGAAGCTTTTCCAATTGCTTATAAAGGAGTTTGAAGTTTATTTTTTGAGTGAAGTGGTTAGTTTAGAAGGGTGCTCAGCAAGTTCTGAGCTAGACAGGTTTTCCCATTGGTTTACTGCCTGAAAAAGACACTGATTTATAGGAAACGTGTCTTGCAAGTTCCAGTTCTTGACTTTTCCTAGATACAAGTGTCATAACATGCACTTCTTACTAAATAAGACCACCGTCTGCAAACATCCCCCTCTGAAATTCCTTAGGCATCCTACAAAAAAATGCACTTTGTGTACATATTCCTTTAAACCAAAGCTTTATCTTCAGCAGCATCACTTAATTATTTTGCTAAAAATCTCCCTGTTCTTTGTAAAATTCATGAAATAGAAAACAAAATCTGAATAAAAGATAACCTGCTGAGCCACTTACGTTCACTGTTGTAAATGAAGCTCTAACTTTGTTTTTTATCTCCCAACAGACAAACAACAGAAAGGTGAATTTGCCTTAGAGGGCTACACCATCAGAATGAATAATAGCCTTCGGAAGGATGCAAAGAAAGATTGCTGTTTTGAAATCTCCGCTCCTGATAAGCGCATTTATCAGGTTGGACTTTTTTTATGTTGACTTGAAATTAAATTGATAAAGCTGTTACAATTCCAGTTACTAAATTAACATTTCAGTAAAACAATTTTCACTGACATCTTAATGGAAAAAGGAAACCCTTGCTTGCTTATATATTAGGAAAAAAAATCTGATTTAAAATACGTATGTGTTCAAATATTATCTTTTTGGACAAGAGCAGAGAAATCTGTCATCTTTATCTATTGGTCACTTCAACATTAGCATTTTAATATCTGTTGTATCGTATGTCTGTGTGATTTCTTGGATGAATTAATTAGTAAAAAAAGTTAAAATATATATTAGTGTTAAATACATATTGCATCGGTCATGGCTTTGCAAAGAAAATCAACGTAAAGGCAGATGTCAGCTGTGCAATTCAGAGATCTATCAGCTAGACATCAATATGGAATGTAAGTTTAATAAGTTTTAAATATCTAAGATTGCAGTTGAAAGCCAGTTAATTAAGCTGTCAGGTAGTGTGTTGGAGTCTGACAAGAACGTTTTTAAGAAAACTGTACCCAGCAGTCTAAAGAAATTCATGGGTGTCTTCTAATTGTCAAGGGCAAATTTTGTTCATCAGTTCTGGCTTTGACAATGATGAAGAGAAGCAGCTTTTTTCTGCACAGCTGCCAGCTGCTGATCAGAGTTTCAAATCCATCATCCTCTCCTTCAATTACTTAAATTTGTCAAAATTAGCTGTACATTATAAGAAGCATCCTTGCAAGAAAAGTACCAGAAGACATGAAAAGAATTACTAATGGTTTCTTGAGGAAGTGACGAGAATGCTACAGTCCCTCTTTTTTATTGCCAATGAAATTGTAGTTGTGTTTTTGTCATTACTGCTAGTAGTTATTAATAAACATTTAATAGTTTACAGCTGCCACTCCCAAAGAAGCAGAGGAATGGGTACAGCAAGTCAAATTTGTCATCCAAGGTAAGCCAGCCAGTAAAGCAGTAGACTTCGCTAGTACTGCTTAGTGATGGTAGTTCTGTCCATTAACATTATCTATCATTTTTGTATATGTTATATTCTCCCCTGTCCAAGCTTTGAATAACAAGTCCTATTTTTCAATCATACAGCTTTCGTATGACTTTTCTCCTTTTGTGAGATTTTTGCTTTTCTCCAAGAAAAGTATTTATCTTGAAAGCTCTCCCTTACTGAACATTATAAGAAAATAATCAGAGTATACTGCAAACACCAGGTCATAGAAGAATTGTGGTTTTCTTTGCATGATTTTCTGCTAAGGCATTCTTCTGTAGTAAATGTTAACTTTTTAAACTGCTGTTGCATAGATTCAGGATCTAATACTATTCCGGAGGAGGAAGAAGAGGATTATGATGACGTTTGCCATGTGAGCAGTGAATCAATAGATGATAGCATTTACGAAGAAGTTAAAGGTATTGAAATTTTTTATTTTGTGTCTTGTAATCATTTTGTCTTCTCCACTTCCAGTTTGGTAACTCTGAGTGGCTAGAAGTAAGTGAATGACATAATCAGATGAGTAAGACACTTTCAGATTTCAGGTTTTGTTAGGACATTAAAAAGAGAAAGTGTATTCAACCAGATCTGAGTGAGAACAATTCAGTTTTCTTTATAAGGGCATCAAAATAGTGCAGCATGTGTAGAAGTCGTCTCAGGGGACTTTTGGCGCACTAAGATTCTTTGGAAATTGCCTTGCCTTAAAGCTTTTTCCACCACCTTGCCCATCATATTTTCTTTATTAATTTTGGAATTTGTATGAAGCAAAAGTTCACTATCATGCCATATGTTATCAGCTGTTGCCTAATACATGATGTTATAACCCTGCAAGAAAGCGTTTGTTGGAAAAGGCACTGGAGATGAACTGTAAATAAACTGACATAAGTTTTGACACTGTTTTGTTTCATATCTTCCTGCATGATTATGAATATACAGAAACTTTTTACTGTGGACTTTTTGATGTGGTAAAATGATTATGCCTCTAAATGTCCAAGTGTATCTATCAGATGGCAAAACAAAAGAAAAAGCTAGTGAAAATCTCTTGGAGTTGATTGTAGGCATTCAAGTATTAGGAGAAAGGTAGTTGTTCTTGGTTATATTTTAAGAAGCTATGAAAAAGTCAATGTTTCAGTCATCATTAGTTAACAAATGGTATTTTAAAGTGATATGACAATTAATAATCACTTTGTATAAAATAATGTTCTTCACTCCTTGCTGTTTGGGGCAGTGCAATTATCAGCAATAACTTGAGAGGAAAAATTGTGTCATGTGATGCTAACTTTCTGTATCTGTTAGGTTCAATATTCTGACCACTGGAGAAAAGAACGGTTTACAGTATGCCTCAGTTTTCATTTTACGGTCATTTCAATGAACCAATGGAGCAGGGAACACGAGTGAAAATTATGATCATAAAATTGTAAAATTGTAGCAGCACTCAATTCTTTAAGAGCTAAGTTGTTTCTTTTTTGTTCCATTTCCTTGGATTGTACCTACGCTACTCCAGCACAGAACACAAGTTCTGCTGAAATGGGGTGCATTGTGTCATGCTTGCTGAAAACCTCTTCTGCAGTGAATAAAAAAATTCCATTACAGAACTTAATATTGTAGCTGGAGAATACAGGCTGATCTTATTTGCAGTGCTTTTTGGATGCTCAGCCTTTTACAGAAGGTGATCTTGTGTGCTTGCTTACACTCTGTTAAAGCACCTCTCGATGTATTGTGGGATAAATTCTCAAGTAAGTAAAATTTTACATTTTGGTGGCTTTTCAGTGTTTCTTTATATTAGCATTTCTAAAGCAAATTAAGATAGTTCACGATGCAGTCCATCTGGTAATACTGGGTTTTGTATTTGAATAAAGTGTTTGGATTTAAAGGGAATTTTTGTGCAGTTTTGAAAATTGGGAATTTTCAGGAACCGTTGCAGTAATCAGGCCTAACTGATGATGGATTTTTTAGCTATCTCATTGCTTAGATTTGTTTTTTATTTTTTATTTTTTATTTTTCCCATGTTTGTGGCAGGAGACAGTGTAGATGAATTTTCCAGGCAGCAGCCGGATAGCCCCAAGCCAGCATCCAGAATGGTAATCGTCTATTAGCCTATTAAAAGCACAGATTTCAGTGGCATTCAATTTGAAGTGTCTGCTGGCAGGAGGAGTGGGTTTACAGTTGGAAGGGGTACAAAGAGTGGTGGGATTAATATTTTGATCTGATAAGTCACTTCTTTAACAGCACATAAAAATTCATATTTACTGTAGAAACATAATTTTCCTGGCTCTCAGCATTAGTTAGTGTTTTACTCTGGTTATTCAGGTAGAGTCAGAACTTCCAAAGATTTCCCAACTTGTAAATATTCCTTGCAAGATTCCTCAGGAATATAAAGCTTTATACTCTTTTCAACCAAATAAGCTTTTGCCCTTTTTTTTTTTTATTAATAAAAACACAGAGGAAAACTTGGTTAGGCAAAATTATTACCAATAAAGGCCCATTTTTGCTTAATTAGCTATTTTCTGTCATAGTACACTCTATATAATTTTACCGTCCACAACTGGATATTATAAGGTATAACATAAAATAACTTCTAAATATGTTGTATTAAATAGCTATGTGTGCCTATAAAGTTACCTAGATGCGTAGAGTTTCTAGGTTAGTGGTGTCTTAAACAACTATCCTTGTCAGAGGAGACAACACTTGCCAGCTTTAAAAATGTTTCCATCTGCTATAGCTCTTGGAGACTGATTTTTATTTTATTTTTATTAATTTGGGGTTTCAGTGACATAATGTTTAATGGCCTTCAGTATTCTCTTCTGTGGTTTCACATCTGTATGGAGCACATACTCAAAATTGCAATGTTAACTGCTGCCTGACACCTTCATCCTTTCTACAACATCAGCTCAGATCGTGTACTGTCTGGAACAGTCTTGCACAATAGGAGAAAAGAGGTGTTAATCTAAGTTAATATTTATGTTCATTTTCAATCTTGTGTTGTTTTTTCAATTCTGTTCTCTTTCTGGTCACAAACTTGCATTATAGCAGTAGATTCTGTGATATACAATCTAGTTTCCATTAAAATGGTTTGATTCTTACTTTGGTGGTGCTTGGTTTGTTCATGTAGGTGAAAAGATGACAATTTTAAGTAGATCAGGTTGGTAATCCTGAAGCAACATGATGTGACCCAAGGCCTGTCACTGTTGGCTTTGTGCCATCTCTTCTCTGCCTGTCCATAACAGAGAAAACTTTTGGAGGCAGTGAAATTTGGTGCTATGGTGATCTCTGATCAGGAGACCTGCTGTGGAGAGCTAACCCAGCCAATACAATTTGCATTAGTTTTCTACTGTAAATTAAGTTTGAGGGCTGATTTAGTCTCTGATTGGGCCAAGGATTGTGGGGATGGAAAGCTTGCTTTTGTCTTTTAATTCCTACAGTCAGTCCTCTGCCAAACAATTTGCCCATGTCAAGCCAGGTGTCCAGACAATACTTCTGTTTAGCAGTGTGGTTGGGAGCTCAGCTATGGAAACTAAGGCAAAGTTCAGGGAAAGGTAAGAAATGTCTTATACAAGAGAAAGTGTGCTATGCAGAGAAACACTTTTTGATGTTTACTGACTTCATTTAAAGTCTTTTAAGTAGTTTGAAAATCATACTGATTTTGTTTCAGAACTTATTTCTGACATTGAGTAAGAAAGTATGTCTCTATCTTATGGTTATCTCTTTCAGCAGCTTTGTCACTTTAATTTTTTCTAACATTTAGCCTCTGTAGTTAAGCAGCTTAACTTAATACCATCCTCATCTGCTGTTGCTGAATTGCTTGAGCTTTGAAGAAGAAAATTATGCTTATGTTTTTTGTGCCCTTTCCATGAGCATTGCAGGGGGAGGGAGAACATGATCTCTGATTTACCTCTTCTTGGGGAAGAAGGGAAGTAATGATTATGTAGTAGAGTTTTGAGTGTAAGTTACTCATGGACACATTTGTGTTCTCAAAATGTAGCGTCAAATGTACTGACTTTCTGGCACTAGAAGTGAAAATTTCACAGCACTGCGTTAATGAAAATGCCTTTTCAGGAGAGCTTTGCTTATTTTAGAGCTTTCAATATATCACAGTCAGGGTTTGTGGGACCAACATAGCGTTTGGTGTCAAACTGTCCAAGTTGTGGATTATAGCTGTACTATCAGTTCCTAAAACCAGTAAACTAAAATGAAGAAACTGATAATTGGTTGTGTAAACTAGAGCAGTAGGTTTAAGTCAGCCGAGACATGGAATCTGAGGTGGTATCTGTAATCATTGCTGTTAAGTCAGTATATTACATATCATGGTATTGTCCTCCTAACATTTGTTTGCCTCAAGTAGTTAGGCAATTCTTTACTTCTTGTCCAGAAAAGTTGTATATAATGCTGATGTGCTACCACTTTTTTATTTTTATTTTTTTCCACAGAAAGAATTGTAAGTGCTTTTAATTAGTAAATTAAGGGATTTCAAAGTATAAGTAGGGTCAGGAATATTTGAAGCTGAGAAAACCATGTGTAAGGTGGGTATTTTCGAGGACAGTACTTACGATGAGTTTCCAAAGTGATTACTTTTGAATAATTTCCATCAAAATGTCTTTCAGGTTTGAGAACACAGCCAGAGATTTTTTTTTTTTATTTTTTTTTTTTGTTTTAAAGCAGAGAGGATTCCTCAAAACTGTGTTTTTCAAAGATTGAATCCTGGTGGTGTTAAGAAATTAGTATTATTTACTTGTTTAGCCATTGTGTTATTGTAATATATGGTGTGTTTTGCCTTTAATATCTTACTGATGGGTGGAGAATAAGGAGGAGTGGGTGCTACAGGGTTTATTCAGTTTGCTGCAAATTGAAAGTAAAATAATACACAAGATCAGTGAAAAGCAGATGTAAACTACCTTTTGGTGTCAGGGAATAGTAAAGACATTTTTTTTCTGTCCAAGACGCATGGTTTGGTTTCCTTGATCACTGGGATTTGGGGTCTATTAAATGTCTTTGATTATATGTTAGACATGGAAATAAGTGAAAAATCGTATCTTTCAACTGTATATTGCTGAATCCCAGCTAGTATGTTGAAATGGAACTGTGTCTGAATTCTAGGTCACTGTGGGTTTTGAGGCAGTACACTTATGGGAAGTATATAACTTGGAGTGTCCTTCAGCTGGTACTAAATCCTCACAAGACATGATTTAAGAATCCAGACAACTTTCTGTATGTAAAGACATTGCATCCAGGAGGTGGTTAGGAACTCGATACCTGGACCTCAGCTTTTGTTTGCCGCAAGAACTTGAGCTTTAATTTCAATTAATGTATTCCCACATCTAAAGAGGGAACCTTCTCTTTCTGTTGAGGTTGAGTGGCAGTGATAGAAGAGGAGGTAAGAAAATCTGGTGTAGCTGAGAAGAATGAGATGTCCATTGAGTGG